CATCTGAATTAGTAGTGTTTCCTTTACATGTTTAAAAGCTTTATATTCATTCATTTAAATGTTGGCCTTCTAGCTTTCTCACTTACACACTTCACTAGCCTACTTCAAATTATATTGATTACAATGACTTGAAGTATGGATACTTGTCCAACAGCCTCGGTTTTCTGTTTACTATCACATTTAAATGACCACATCTCTGTTTGTTTCACTTTGCAGTTCAACATTGCTGATTCATGATTTCATTTTATGACTCAATTGTGAAGTGGAGCCACCAACTACTGAGTTTATATATATGAATATGTGTTACAATTTTAACGCTGTCAGTTTGTCATCCACATATATTCTCCATATCTTACTAATAGGCAACAAACATGATTAAAGCAGGATTTATTGAATTTTACGATACATTTTACTTCATCCAAAATGTTTCCAACTTAAATGGAACTGGAATTCACCTTGTGTCAGCTGATACTGTCACTTTATTCACAGATGTTCCAGTTGTCAAAACTATTGAATTTATATGCAAACAAATCGATGATACACCTATTAAAAAGGGAAAACTACTACTATGTAGTAAAAGCATTAAGTTGCAGTTAAACGATCAGGTGGGTAACATTACGATGCGAAGCCACCTGAGACCACTTTTATCAACTTGTTTCAATCAAGTCTAGAGGCTAGTAACCTTAAGAAATTGATAGATCCAAGAAAGTCGATATTTATTAAATCGCCTAGTAAACGAAACAATATCTTAGAAGTAGTTAAGAGCAGGCTAGACAAGGACACTGGAGGAACTCACAACGCAGCTAAGCTAGTACTTCTGAATTCCACCAGTTAAGTGGTATAGTAATCAGAGAAAGATATGACTCCAATCTGAGATACATCAAACTGTATGTACCAGTTTGAATTTACTCGTGGGAGCAAATACATAGGTCGAACGGAAAGGTGTTTGTATATTCTCACGATTGACCATTTACCTAAATGGGTAAGGCAAGGTGAATCAAAACTCCTACAGAGTTTTTGACTAAGCACCTAATGGCTTATCGACATAACATTGACGCTACTAAGGCATTCTTGGTTGTCAGTAGACAGCGGAATGAGAAATGCTTGGAATCTTGGGAGCATGTGCGATTAGAGTTCGTAAGCCGAACCTTTGTCACCCTAGATCTATCATGGTGGAGGTCTCGAAGTGTTTCAAACTTATTTCATTTTATGTGTCTTGTTCTTTTCATTTTATTTCCTCCTCTGCTTAACATATTTACCTCTCCATTATTTTTATTCTGCCGTACAGTCATTTCCTCTTGGACTTCACTTAACAGTCAAATGATTTATCAAGCTGTGACTACCAGTTGTTCCACTGGATGTAATTCATCCCTAGTCTTTTTGTTTTTCATTATTAGTTCGCTCCCCTGTGAAACAGTATCATTTACTGGATAACGTTTCGGATATAATTTATTGTATATATTTACATCATGTAAGGTCATACAGTAAATGATACTGTTTCACTGTGTTATAGTAATAAACCCACTAAAACGGAGTTACAATCTACCACAGTGGTCAAGTTTCACTCCTAAGTTAAATTGTAACCTTCCTCTAACCTATGCTTAGTTTTATTTGACTCAACTAAGTTATTCACTCGGTGTGGCAGTTCCCCTATTCAATGTCTTAGTCTGTATTATGTATATGTATTCCTCCATTGGATAACAGTACATAGCAATCATTTATGTAGAGTTAGAAGCTGACGAATCCTACTTATATTTATGAATCCTGCTTTAATAACGTTTGTCGCATGATTTATATTTGGATTGGGAAACAAATGTTTCCACTTCAAGTTCTTAGGAAGTGAATACAATATAATTCAAGGGGTTTTTAGTAGGATTATTATTTATTGTTATCTGTCCCTTGGGTTCTTAGTGGAACAAAGGGCTTCAGGAGCACGTCTCCAGTGCATTCTGTTCGCTGAAATCCTTTCAACCTGGTTCCACGACAGACCAGAACCTCTCGTTTCCCCCTTGTACGATCTCCTCCATGCCACCCTCACCAACTCACAGTTTCCCCTTCGAATTTCACTCCAGGGAATGGCATGGTGCGTGATGTCCTCAGTCGGCCTTCTCAGTGTATACCCAATCCATCTCCATTCCATTATCCATATTTGTTGAGTGACAGGTTCTTGCCTCGTTGGTTCGTTCCCAGAGTTCCTTGTCGCCTATTCTTTCTAGCAATCCATCTGATATTCAGTAATGAGTGAGCATAGGTGGCAGTTGTTGATGAATATCTGTAGTTTGTTGGGAATGCTTTCCATGACGTGTCAAGTCTCTGAACCATACAGAAGCACTGATTTGACTTGACGTTGGTGTTGAGTATGCGAATCTTGTTCTTTGTGCTGAATGCAGAAGATCTCCACACAGGTTTTGGATTAATGAACGCTTGTCTTGCTTTTCCAATTCTGACTTCAACATCTTCGTCTGTGCCTGTGCCACCTGTAGTTGAGACAGTGCTGCCCTGCCTAGATATGTGAGAGAGACTACTTCCTTTAAGTTTCTTCCGTTGATGGTGATTGCAGCTTGTTGTTGGTGGTGGTGTTGGTGGGGTATCTTCATCACCTCTATCTTCTCTACGTTCACTTGGAGTCCTGTCCTTGCTACCCCTTCTGTCAACTTGTTAGTTTTCGCCTGTAGATCTTCACGTTTGTATGACATTAGATACAAGTTATCGGCGAAATCCAAATCTTCTAGGATCTTTTCCGCAGTCTAGTGTATCCCCCTCTTTTAGTAGGATATTATGCTGATAATAAACAGTAGGATAGTTCTTATGCTGAAGTACTTCTGAAGTCAACTTTTGCTTGAATGTGTTAATCTAACTTATGAACCGTGGTGCTACCTTAAGTTCTACTTAGGATTATTATAACGCTTAAACTTATACTGAAGCGCTTTCATTTTGTAGAGGAGGTGCACGGCATATTTCTAAATGCTGTCCGTGAAAGTGTCCATAAGTTTTCGTTCCCTGCATATGGTTCTGTTCGAATATGTTTGTCAATTTCCTTCAAATAATCTGATTTTTCTATAACTACCGTTGAATCCCCTTAATGGCTTCAGTGATTATCGTTCTGCAAGACGGCGTTCAGTTCACTAAAACTGGCATTGAAAAACTATTCACGTACTGTGATATACACAGTATTGAGCGCAGTATATAAAGCTTTTCATGGTGTTTAGCGTTAATGTTATATAGTGGAGATACAGAGTCGCTTTAAAACCAGCTAAAGCAACCTAAACTTAGCAAAATGCCTTCACCATAGCGAGACTTAGATTACGACTATTGAGGAGATTTCTAGTTCACAAGAAGACTGGAAAATGTCTGACCAATGGCACATAACTTTAGATGCATCATAGTTAGACTGAATAATCTCATCAGTAATTGCAACACAAAACGTTCTTCTCATTTATTAGGTCACTCGGTGAATATTACCTATTGATGAATAGAACTATTATTAACAAACACGTTAGGATTACTACCAAAACGTCAGCCAGCCGGTTTGTAACCCTGTGTTGTTTTCCTAAAACGTATCTGATGGCCTGAAAGACGTCTAGCAGAGATAACACTGTTTTGATTAGTCTTCGTTCATTTCATCAAAGATACTATTTAGTAATGTTTAACCATGAAATCTCTCACTTTGATATGAAAGCGCTATATACCAAGCCGTGATATCAAAGTAGGAATTTAGATGACGAAATTTAATTACATATCAGGCTGTAGTGAAAGAATGAAATGTAAAGCTGCATCCTGATATGAAGGCTGGTCGATCACATAACGAGTATACCATTATACTGCAAAAGGAAATCATAATTTCAACTGGATTTTCAGGATTAAAGTATGAAATACAACGTAGTCAAAATTGTTCTGAAGGTGTATTCAGTTTTAAGAAGGTGGAAAATCATTTTGGCTATCTGAGATAGTTGTGGTTGGGCAGACTAGTAATTATACTGGGTGATGATTGAAAGAGATGAAAATCTGGACCGCGGCCGCATTCGAACCAAAGACCACTGGGTTTCTGTCACGATGCTCTACCAACTGAGCTAGGAGACCTGACTGCTGAACTGAATTTTATTTCACTTTACTCACTATGGATTTTCCTCGACCACCTTGTGAATTCGTGACGCATTACTATCGCCCGGTCGTATTCACACTGGCTGTCTAGTCAAGACTTCTCATCCCAATCCAAATGTGAACTAAATTTCAGAGGGGGAACATCACATTGATTATCATTCGACTACCTGAGATAGCCGTGTTCAGTAGTCTAGTACTTATACTGGGCATTACCCTTGGTGATTAGGGCGAAATAAGAATTTGGTCAGCAGTCGGACCTTGTAGCTAAGTTGGTAAAGCATCGGGCCGGAAACCCGGTGGTCGCTGGTTCGAGTCTGACTGCGGTCCTAAATTTTCATTTCACCTTCAATCACCACCTTGTACAAAATAGGAAATCTCAAAAATTCTATAATTATGCTATAGTTCTGCAATACTGTTGCAGGGTGGAACCAATCGCTTACTCTACAGCTTTATTAGATATTAAGCACTCTTTCTGAAGAAATGTTTGATTCCGTTTCTTTAAAAAGTATCAGAAATCTGCCTTTGAAGTGTTACTTTTGCTGTAACATCAGAGTTTAGAAATCATTATAATACTAAATACTGATTTTTATATGATACCAAGGTATATCTCGTTCTCATTAAGTATATTTTAAGAAAAGGATACAACAGACTATACTTAGTTTTTGTTTATGAGATGGAATCTACTTGACCTACAGTAAATACTTTAAAACAGGATAAGTTCTCGTTTCACATAGACGCTAATGAGAAGTATTGATCAATACATTTTGTTAAACCGCCTTATCTTTCTGTTTTGTTGCATACGTTGACCTGATAGCATCTTCTTTCTAACATCTGCATATATATATATATATATATATATACTGCCCGTAGATAATTCATATTTTACTGTTGGATTTCGGATGCCGTCTATAAAAAAATCGGATATAACTGTTGTAAGGTGCTATATGCAAGATGATATGCGAAAATATGCGGTAAAAGTTCTCCAAAAAGCAATGAATCGTTTTACAGAAGAGCGTGAAGTTGCATCATATATTAAATTCCGTTTTGATTCTCGTCATCATGCCAATTGGCATTGTATTGTTGGAAAACATTTTGATTGGTAAGTTGAAACCTAATGTTTAATAATCGAGTGAAATATTATTGCCTTTTTTTTTTTGTTTTTTATAGTTCTGTAGCGTTTGAATCGTCTCGGTGTATTCTTTTACGTGTTGAAGATACACTAGTTTTATTATTTAAATATGGGTAATCATTACGATTAAAGAGATTTCTATTTGTAAATTTGAGATATACATGATGATTATTAAAAGAAAAACTTCTTGTAATTATATTGTCCTGTCTTCTCCTACTTTAAGGTGATAGGAAGGTAAAAAAAAAAGGTGAATAAAGAGATTTATCATACAAACTAAAATTTTGATATGCAAGTACTTTAAGCATCTTATCTTTAACCAAAAAATTCCGAAAATCTTTAGTCTACTGACAAAGCTAACTGGATATAAAACTTCTTGAAATTGTACATAGAGCAACTTAAGGATATCTGATACACTAGTAAGAAATAAGTTGTAGTCAAGATCTCATCAGTTTGAAGTAGTTTCTTAAAGCAGAACTACTGAGTTTGTGAAGTCTTTGATAACGCATAAGTGTACCATTCTGGGTTAATCATATGAATTATATCCTGGGAACTTTGTCTAGTCGGCTGATTTATATTTCCGATTAATGCTGCTTATTCTTCTTGCAGTAAGATTCATAGAGTTTTATCAGTTGTATACCGATGTATTCAGCAAGGTATATGTGTGTGTGTGTTGATTATAATTTCCATATTAGATTTGTTTATTTGATTTATAACACACAGCGATAGAGTATTACTTACTTCATGACGTTTCGAGCATAAATTATTATTACTCATAATCACACAAATTTCCACATTTGATTTTTATAGTCCCGTCACCTCATATCACTTGTTTTTATTGGTAGTAAAGTTTTGCACATCTCTGGTATCGGTGTTGCTTCATTTCTATTACATGTGTTGGGTATTGGTTAGTTCGATGAACAAAGATTCAGTAATCAGTCTCTCTCTTCACCTGATAACTAATAACAACAACAACATGAGTACGAATAGTAGGGACAACGCGAGTAGAAAAAAGTTCAAAGACTCCACTGCATTACCCTATAAGGAAGGCAAATTAGAAACTTTACATAGAATCCTCAACAAAGCTGGAATTAGGATAGCTGGTATTTGAACCTACAAACTCCTTCAGAGATAAGCTTTACCACTTCTCTTTTAGATACGATAGAATCAACTAAGCAGAATTCCATGTAATGACTGTAAGATCAAGTCCATAGGTCAAACTAGCCGGTCGGGGTCAGTTATTCTAGTGGAGCATAGATATTTAGGTAAATATAGAATGACAGATTCAAAGGAGATCAGTAATCTAGAAAAAAAGTCGACCATTGCAATGTATTCATTACCATACAGCCACACAATAGGGTGGATGAAACCACTGTACTTAAGTCCAATATAATTAAGTACAAAGAGAGATTGATTACTGGATCTTTGTTCATCGAATCTACACCCAACACGTGTAACATGTATGATGCAACACCCATATCAAAGATATGGAAAAATTTTATTACTCCTGAAAGCAAAGAATATGAAGTGACAGGACTATGAAAATCAAATGTAAGTAATACTATGTCATACTGTGCGCTATATATTAAATAAGCAAACCTGATATGAAATTGCATTATACCATAGTGCCCAAGTTGTTTATAAATGACTATACTAATTTTCAAACCACATCCTATAACATCTTTACTTACCATTTATTGGCATATTTGTTATTCTTCGTTGTTCTGTTGGATAGAATTGTTCGACCTCTATTGGCATCCACATAGGAGCCCATATGCCAATAGAGGTCGAACAATTCGATCCAACAGAACAACGAAGAATAACAAATATGTCAACAAAGAGTAATAACTATCACCCGTTGTACAAGAAGTGGCTATCGTTTCTCTGTGGCATAGTGGATAACGCCTTGACGTTTGGAGCAGTGGGTACGAAGTTCGAGTCTCAGTGGGAACAGCATCACTGGGGTGCATTCAGCTGACGAGTCCCAAATAGGACGAAGCATGCATCCTGAATCGTTCTGCTAGCCACAACCAACCGAATTATCTTCGTTTATCGTTCATAATAATTTAATATTGAAATTGAAGGGAATTAAAAGGGTATAGTTGTTTTTTGCAATTCATGAAAATATATACATCTAAATTCAATAGGATGATGGTGCAAGTGAAACTTTGCAAGTTATCTTCTGATATATGTTAAACAATGTACATTAAAGTGAAGTTTTACATACCAAAAATAATTAGGCACGCATTTTCAAGACTTTCATGGTTCATTTAATACCTTTGTGAGTGTTGTATTTAGTTCGATGATTTGTACTCAACTTTACAGAAAACTTTTTAGTTGAGGGTAAGTTGATGGATAAACATTTATTTCAACAGTATTAAATTAAACTGGTATTCGTCATGTCAATCATGTTGGATAAAATATCATGTAATTCCATATTAGATATGTTTATTTGATTTATAACACACAGTAGTGATCTAGTACTATTTACTTGATGACGTTTCTAGCATAAATTATCATTGCTCATAATCATATCGATGTAATCATACTACTTTCGACATCTGATTCCTAAAGTCTTGTCTTTTTATTGGTAGTAAAATTTTCTATATCTATGGTATCGGTGTTGCGTCATTTCGACTACATGTTGCGTGTTGATAACAATCTTTTTCATCGAATCCACACTCAACACATGTGGAATAGAAATGACGCAACATCTATACCAGAGATATATAAAATTTTACTACCAATAAAAACAAATCATACGATTTGAAGGTAACCTGGTCAAAAATGGACTGGATGCTTAGTAATAATAGGCAGTGGCTAGCAGTGGAATCCAGGATGCGCATTTCGTCCTATTTGGGACTCGTCAGCTGGATGTACCTGCTTCCCAGTGAGTGATGTTGTTCCCACCGGGAATCGGACTCGGGAGCGATTGCTTCAAACGCCAGCGCGTTATCCACTACACCACCGAGCCACGATAGCCCGGTGGGAACAACATCACTCACTGGGAAGCAGGTACATCCAGCTGACGAGTCCCAAATGGAACGAAATGCGCATCCTGGATTCTACTGCTAGCCACTGCCCATCATTACTAAACATAGTTAAAAGACAGGACATATCGAGGCATCCTCATAGGAGCCCATATGCCAACAGAGGCTGATCAATTCGGTCCTATCAACGATGGTGTAATACAAGCAATAACACTAAAATGGACTGGATGGTTTGAAAAAACTTGGGCACCGAGTTAGTATGATTCATTGTATAGGATGTATTTTCACTTGTGTAATACCGGCATAGTATATTAGAACAAATGACAAAATAAACAAATATTTTGTATCAGTCCTCAACGTCTCGATCTTGCTAGGAACATCCTTTTCAAGAGTATGAATCTGACAATAAGTTTTCAGGTTAATATTCAAGTTTTGGTACAGTAGGTAGTGAGTGACCTTTACAATCATCCAATTACATAGTGACATGGAGCAAAGGCCAATGTAAGTGAATTAGTGAGTGAATAAGCAACTCGATCAGAGAGGCTTTTCCATTGTGCTAGTAAGGTGGAAGAAAAATAGGGTGGGTAAAATTGTTTAGTTCGTCTATGAAAAGTACAATGGGGTTGTGAGACATCAAGGGTGAGAAAGAATAGATAACTAACTAGTTTGGAAGGATGAATATTTGAAGATAAGTCTATGTATGATAAATAAATAATGATAATGATAACTAACGATAAATGTACTTTGATAACACTTGAAGTATGAGTGATAACGAAATGGATAATGTTATGGTTCATCGAATGTATATGATTCATAGAGTAATGTAAAATTGATGAGATTAGTAGATCAATAAGGTGTATGTAATGGGACTAGACAATCTACCTTCTCTACAAATCATATAAGTTGACAGGACTGTAGGAATCAGATGTCGAAAGTAGTGTGATTACATCAATATGATTACGAGCAATAATAATTTATGCTCGAAGCATCTTCAAGAAAATAATACTTTATCACTGTGTGTTATAAATCAAATAAACAAATCTAATATGAAATTAAATTCTACCACAGTGCCCAAGTTTTATGCCTATATTAAAAGATCATGTACATTTTGAAGTGATTCTTGATGTCCATAGCGTTTCAGAGAATATCCACCATTCTAAAAAGAAGTAAAATCAAGTAGTACATGAATAAAGCTGAGACAGTAGGCTAGGTTATAATTCCATTATATATATATATATATATATATATATATATATATATATATATATATATATATATATATATATATATATCCATTGGCGATAGTAGCATCAGGATGTTTCAAAGTTATACCTTTAAAAAAGAACTATCACTTCTATGGTATGAATCTTCAGTTTACCTTCAGCGAATACTATTTAATATTTCAGCCTTTTAAATATCTTGAAAAGATTAAGCAAAAGTTAAAAAATCTTGGCCTACCGCTTACTATTTATGAACTTAATTTTAAGTCCATTTTGTTACTGATATTTGTCGTGATAAAAATACGCAGTGGTGCTCCATATCACCTGAACCATGAATTTCTAGATGGCTTATTGAAAAAGTAATTTTTTGCTTAAAGTAGATTTTTGAGAGAGTTGTGGAGATTTGGAAATATTTCAAGTTGTTATTCATTGTAGACTTACATCAGTTGGTAGAACTAAGGAAACCTGTAAGCAGTGGACACCTGTTTCGTCCTAGTATAGAACTCCTCATCAGTGAGCACTCACGACCCCACCAGGGATCGATCCCACGACCTTCAGGTTCCGTGGCCAGCACGTTGCCATACGTAACCCATACTAGGATGAAACAGCTCTCAGGTGCTCCTAGGTTTCTTTTATTCCTCCAGCTGATGTCAGTCTACGATGAATAACAACTTTAAAGTAGCATCTATATCATTACTACCCCTAAAAACTTTATGCTATTAGCACCTCGATTTTGATCTAGTTTGCGAAACTATCCTATGTTGTTAACTTTCAACCTTTTTCTGAACTGAAGGATATTTATTTTTAGTAAAGTATTGATGAACAGCAACAAAATACTCAAAACTTTTGATTTCATTCCTTTTTCATGTGCTGAAATCCTATTTATTGAGAAGTTTACTCATAGAGTGTA